AGAAGGACAGCAAGTTTAGTCTTTTTAACAGAGGCTATTTTTTTAAAGTTAGAGTTCAGAGTTGAATATTAGATTAAATAAAGTTAATACAAAGTGTCTTTGAAATACAGAGATGCAGAAATGTGAGCATGTAGCACACCCATATGGAAAAACATTAGAAAAACTTATAAAAGACTTGCATCAGATTTGGCCTACTTCATATCTATAAGGCACATTTCATTTATATAATTTTTCAAGGGATCTTATATCTGTTTTCACTCTTATATGCTTTTCATACAAGTTTCACACAAGACAGATACAAACTTTATGAGATTTATATAGATCTTTTCCATATGGGCAGAGCCACGGCTCAGAGTCTGACTGAGTATCAATGAGTCTCACAGGCTGAATGTGCGTTTAAAGCCATTTATAAATGTAATTACTGCATGTGGTCTGACATGTAAAGTGAGTGTGACACCCCTGCTCTAAATCATGGACTAAAGGAACCATTAACGCTCTAGCATACCGTCAGTATATAGCATAGCAAGCATGCCCAGTCACTGACGACACACGCTAGCCATGCTTTCATTAGCATTAATGTTAGCCATGCTAGCTTCCTGTTACTGACTGTGTTCATGTGCAACACGCTAGTTGCTGCAGTGATATTTGATGCTCCACAAACACTGATTTGATTGGCTAACATTGGTCTGTACTGTTAGTGGAGTAAATTCAGTCTGTTCGTGAACGTGTGCAGAGTCTTTTGACAACAGTGTCATTTAGTTTTGGTCACAGTGGATGAGAAACAGTTTCACTGTTTGCCAAAAGAGCTGCACCGTTTGGTGGGGGCAGATCACATGTGTACTTTAAACTTACTGCACTTCTGATTGGATCTTGTTTACTGACAGTGTTTAGTTATCGTCCTGTTTTCATCATAAAAGTCAGTGAAACTACTGTGAGTCCTGCCTGTGAGTACAAACATGCTAAACAAGTACCTCCCTTAAAACATGACCCATGAAAACTGTCGATTAAAAGAGGAAAACTGCAGTGAATCAACCACTGTGATTATCTTTAAAGACAAACCACAAAAACAAAACAGTTTCCACCCTTTACATGTAATCTCAGCATAATCACTTATCCTCACAGCCACAGTGAGTGCTTGTGTATTTAGCTGTAAGTGAAAAATGTCACATCACACATTAAATGATAGATGTTATATGAAAAAAAAAATCCCAAAGCAAAATAAAAACCAAATGAATGAAAAAATCAAATACGTTTCTGTTTAAACTCAGAGGCAGGAGTTTCAGGTCAGAGGTCGGTGTTTACAGCATCATCAAGATTAAACAGAGAAACAGAAATATGAGAGCAGACCCAAAATCAAAAATACCAGAAGAGACGTAGGTGGAGCAAACCGCCTCTCGCCAGCATTGAGTGGTGGAGCTGCAGGTGAGAAACAGGAGACAGGTGTGAGACATGATCTACTCCCTGCTTTCTACAAAGTCTCATCACCAATATCTTCATAAAAGAAAATGTCAGAGGAAGGTTTCCAGCACCATGTTGCATTTATGCCTTGAAGGATTAAGACAGTTCTGAAGTTAAAAGTGGGCCAACCCAAGTCCTATAACTCCTAGTACCTCAGCCTCATGTGTGCAGACGTTTTATCCAAGGGCCTTCATACCGCTTTAAATTCTCTTTAATATTTATTCCTTACTTGATCTAATTAAATAATCAAGGGGCTGTAACTGAAAGAACAATGCTCCAAGTGTCCTGCAGTGCACCCCCTACCCCCCTTAAGCAAGCAGTTTGGTGACAGGAAAAGAACCACGCGCAGCCATCTGAGAGGCCGGCTGAGGTGAGGGGACGTGGACAGGACAAAAGACACGCTGGGGAAGAGAGCCAGGGAATAATAATTACTAATGATTCAATGCAGAGAGGTGTCTAAACACAGAGTGAGTGACGAAGAAACATTCAGTGCATCATGGGAATCCCCCAGTAGCCTAGACTGCAGCGTAACCAAGGTAACTGTAGTTGTGATTTGGCGCTGTATAAGGATCAGAGAGAAAGGATTGTGGACGACTCTACAAACTCACCCTCTGGATCAATTATCAGCTGGATGATGATGATGGTGTCAGCGTTCTCAATGGGAGTCTTTGACTGGTGCATTTCTGTATCGATGGCCAGACACTCATATATTCCACTCTCAGTCACATTCTGCAGAGCCGAGGACAAATTTCCATTGTTCATCCTTCTATCCATCAGATGCATGCGGCTCCTTGAAGGTGGATACTTGTTGGCTTGATGAGACGTCTTGCTCTGGTACAAAAGCACTTCTACTGGCTTCACGTCAATTCTCCTCCACACCACAGCCGCGATGGGATAATCTTTATGAACTTGACACGGCAGAACGACATCCTGTCCACGCACAGCTCTGATGATTGCCAGGTCTGCAGGAGAGGAGACAAAACAGGACAGAGAGTGTTGGTATCACTGAGACTGGGAATCATTGTTTCAAGTACCTGACAAACAGTCCCACACACACACATACACACACACACACATGCACAAACAAGCATTTATGTTCTGTTGTGAATAAAATATTGGCTCATGTGATTTGAAAGTCTTTCAGTTTTCATCTGCTGGGCCTTGGATTGTAAACTGCAGAGTGGATTGATCACTGATCAGTGTTTGTGCGTCTAAAGGTTGATACATAAATAGTGCAGTCAGTGTTTGACTGTCCACAGAGTCTCCAGTTCAGGTAATTTAAATAGCAGATGGAATCTGAAGTGGATTACTCATCCGCCCGGCGATGCATCAAGTAGGGTCTAAAAGCTCCTTTTGCTGCTGAGTGATGTCTCCCAGGAAAAAAGTTATATGTAGACCTTGTTGTTCGAGAAGATAAAAGGAAAAAAAAGTTTTTTTAAAAAAATTATAGTTATTATTATTATCATTTAAATCTTGTGTGACTGTTGTAGCAAGCACACTCATGGTCTGAATGCTTTGCTGTGCCAAACACAGGAGCCTTCAGCAGAGGAGACCTGCTCTACGCTCCTCTTGTGAAACTTTTTATTGTATTTTATGATTCACATCACTGTCACAGTGGGTAAAGGCCAAGTTAGTGAAAGACAGGAGGATGTCACATGATTAAATGTCAACAACTTGATTGGATCGCCAAGGGTGAGCAGGTATAAAAGTGAGGTGTAGAAGAGATTCGGGGTTCTTACATTTTGTCTTCTGACTTCCGGTGTTGCTGTCACTTGGTGTTTGCTCTCTTTGTGGTGGAGCATCACATTCTGTTCCTGTTACAACACACACAGTGGTAGTGAGGGCCAAATGAAACTTTCTGAAGCTCAAGTTGAAAAAGGGTTCATTACTCGAGGCTTTCCAACACCTTTTTGGTGACATCTGGTGGCCAAACTTATGAAAGGAGGATTGAATCTACAACTTCTTCATTATGACTGTACACTTAACAGAGCCGAGCTGACAGCTTCTGTTTAACGTTATGTTAAAGTTCTGTCACTGTACATTTCAGACCCGGGGGCAGAATTGCTGATGGCCTGGTTGTTATTTAGCAACAAGCAGAGCGTCCTCTTTTCCTCGCTGGCTCCATGACGACTCTCATTACCACACACACTGGTTCACTATCGCTCGCACAGAGACACCAAAGCTGAAGCAGAACTTGATGACTGATCACTAACTCTGTTCAGATGAACCAAGCCTCGGCACAGTGTTCCTGAAGCATTGCATGAATTATTTTGACACGTGCTCGAGCTTCAGTGGTGCTTTTGTGTAGCTTGCCTGCGTAGCCAATTCAGTAAAAAACTTATAGAAAAACGTCTTATTTCATAGTGTAATCTTGACGTGCTTCATCTGGAGCACACTCTCTGTGTATTCACTTGCTAATTATTGTCAGTAATCACTTATTGTGTCTTGAGGGTTTTGCTAGCTTGGCTCTTAGCCGACTCGCTAGCAGCATGGCCTCTTCACCTGTCCCTCCTGCACTGTCCTGCTCATTGTGTCAGATGTTTAGTTACTCCTCAGCCTTCTTAAGCAGTAATGACACTTGAAATAAATGTAGCCTGTTAGCAGCTCACTGAATTGGAGACTCGGCTTCACACCATTGAAAAACCTGCAGCTAGACAGCCGGGCAAACAGGGTGACTGTGTGATGGTGAGGAAGAAGCATAGTCATAAACAGATGCCTCAGAACACCACCAACCTGTTCATGTGTCTGACCATTCCCCCCCTCTGCGACACCCCCTGGGGATCAAACTCTGGTAATTGGCAATTCTTTTCTGAGACATGTAAATGGAGTCGTTCTTATATGCTGTTTTTCTGCTCTGAGCACATTTAAGTTAGAAGTCAATTGTCTTCCAGGGGCCAGAGCAGGTGCCATTGTGCATGGAACTTTGCCGAAACAATGTTGGACTCGTCGTTTTCTCTGGTCCCCTCCCCAATCGTCCAGGAGTGACCCAAAAAGCCCTGCAATGTCTCCAGAATTATGTAGTGGATTGAGGTGAAACACGTGTAGTGTGGATGTCAAAGAAGAGGAGTCTGTTGAGAAATTCACCTCAGCTATCACAGATTATTTTTCTTAAATGTTTAACATGACATTATCACATTCCTTTAAAGTTTTCAAGTTGATTTTAAGTTTAAGTGTAAAGTTTGTCTTTAATTTCTCGAGAGTATGAAAGCTGGTTGAGATGACACTCAGCACAGGTGTAGAGCAGGTGGAGCAGAGGAAGAAAGTGTCACGTCGACTCTCAGGGATGATTTTTAATGATTTTTTTAATATGATCCAATCAGGCTGCTTGTATGTGTGCGCGCGCCCGTATGTTTGGTATGTGAACGCGCGTCCACGTTTGTGATCAGCGCAGGAGAAAAGGCTTGTGCGGCGGACGAGAGGCGGGTGTCTCCACCGCGGCTCACAATCACGGCTCGCTGTCCCGCGGTCCCGTGAAGCCTGAAGAGACGATGAAGAATTAATTTAGCGCTGGGACTGGAACTAGTGTTCTAGTTTGTGTTTATCACGGACTCTTTAGGGCGCTGCACACTCGCTCTCTCAGCACATTCGCGCTCAGAAAGAAGCGCGAATCGTTAAAGCAGACTAACGTGGAAACAGGTGAAGAGACGAAGGTAAGCGATACGGTTCGTCACTGTGAAACCCAGCGTCATGGCTTTAACACTGAACAAATCCGGTCCGCACAGGCTCAGAGACAGACTTCATCCTTTTACTTTAACCGTACATGAAACATGAAGCTGAGACAGGAGCTCAGTGTCACAGCTGGAACAACATCAGCTGACATTAAAGAAAAGCAGACATTTGTTCCCTGATAGCAAAGATGGAGATGGAGAGCGTGAGGGAACTACAGAGAGGAGGACACGGGCTGCTCTGTGATTACACTCCACACAGTATCATTAACACTAATGAAAAGATAAAGTAATAAGTTACTGTAGCTCTCAGTTACAGCCTCATGTTTACTCCACATCCGTCTCTTTTCAGACATCAGCAGGAGGGAGGACGATCCCCCAGTGTGAGGACGACCCCCACCACATGAATGGGGGACAGGAGGCGCAGCTTCCAGCCCAGCTGGTAGGAAAGTCCTCCTCAACTTCTCTGTAACTATGGACTCTGCCTGTTGCCATGCGTGCAGGCGTTTCGGTCCACAGTGATGTCAGTCAGTGCTTTTTAAAGATGTGCAGGGTGTGAAATCTCCTGTTTGATTGTTAAATGTTCGTTCACTTTGTTTGTGCTCCAAATAAATTCACTTCATAGATGAAACAGTTCAATGTTGCCTCTGGTTTTGGTTCTGTGCCCCCATGAAAAAACACCCAGAGCCCACCCTGGTAAATCTGGCGTGGAAACGCCACTGCTGTCAAAATGTGTCTTCATGTATCAAATGTTGTATATAAAAATGCTCTTTCCACTCATTTTCATGTCCTTTTTCTGCACACTGAAATCTCAGGCAATGCTTAAACATGAATATATCCAAAACTATAAAGATGAGAGCCTCAAATCACTGCTTTTACTTCTCATGCGCTTGAATCAGGATCTGTCATTTAGCACAGAGACTTCAAACAATCAAGCGGTCCTTCCAAATCTGATATTCGAGCACACGGTAATAAAAACACTTGACATGTGGAAGATAATTAGCGCCGATGTCTGAATCTTCACAGAAATGCAAAAATAAACACGTAGAATAGAAAAGAAAACAGCAGATTTTTGGTCACATAAGAGAAGAAAACGCTGTTTTCATTTTCTTTCCAACATCAGAAGAGTCTAAATGATGCACGCGTGTAGAAACAGACACATATACCTGTGCATGAACACTGCTGTGCAGACAAAACACAGGATTTCCATCTTTCTCATGCAAACACTCACCTACAGAAGTTGTAAACAGGCAGAGAAGAATCAAAGCCAGCAAAGCTTTAGTGGACATGTTGGTGTTCTCAGCAGTGGAGGTGACGCTGCTCAGAGCTCCTTCTTCCTCTTGGGTTTGGGTGATGTGAGCAGGACACAGGGGTACAGACCTTTATATACTTGTGCATGTGTGTGTTGACAGCAGTCACATGCTCATGATGCATCTATCCATCACTGTCACACTCACTGTTCCCACCAGCACATCCACCCAGCTGAGCAGCTGCATGCATGTGTGCACATTCACACATGCAGCTGCTCAGAGTGACGTCAGGCTGCAGGTCAGTAACCATGGTTACAGGCGACGCTCTGAAACTTATGATCAAAGATGTCAGGTTATTGTTTCCATGCAGAATCAAGACTGAAGTCAAACAAATCCACTGTATGTCTAGATAGTGTGTTAGTGTCGTTTCCATAGTAACACTGACTATAAAAACAAAGGCGATCCATCAGTCCAGATCAATAATGTGAGCTCATTTAAGCGCACATGTATGTATTCAGAGAGGTTGATGTACTCGGTCCACCGATGGCTACTGACATCTAGTGGACATTTGATGACATTACATCAACAGTTTGTGTGAAATGAATAAAATGCAGATGTACTCTAGAAATAAAATACTGCAGAACTAAATAGAACACATTAATTCACACAAGGGGAAGTCATGTGACTGTGATGACAGATCAGCGCCATCAGAACACTGACTGATCTGCAGTCTGTGGCATGAAACAGTCATTCATCACTTAGCTCTCTGTAACCTGATGGAGTCAGTGTGTAAAACAAGGTGATGCAAAGATCTGGATGGAGCAGAAGAAGAGCAGACGCAGAGTTTCAAAGGCGCCATCATGGCTCAATAATATCAAAATAATACAAATAATAACAAGTGGCAGGTTAGCCTTCTTAGACTGTGAGATTTCCATCAGTAATGGGGGACGTCTACAACCTGACGTGTACCGTAAACCTACGCATACGGATCAGTATTTAAGGTTTGACTCTCATCATCCACTGGAGCACAAACGGGGTGTCATCAGGATGCTACAACACAGAGAAGAAGAACAGCACATCATAAATCTGATTATGGAAATTTTGTGTGAAAACTCCAAGAAGTTTGAACTTTTCCATAGAAACGTTAGTAAATGAGGCCCACACAGGTGATGACTTCATGCCTGCTGATCGCTAATCTGGAAATAAAGAAGAAGAGTTAGACGGAGCCGTGTGTGCAGCAGGGAGATGAGCGCTGTCATGAAGTGTGACTGCTTGCAGCCTGCAGTCAAACTCCACCTTCAGGATGTTTCAACAGACCCACACCTGTTGACCATCGCACCATGAAGCTGCCTCCATTTAGAGCAGTCACGTACTCTGAGCGCCTTCTCGTCGGGTCTCCTTCGCCTCATCGTGTTTCCCATAAAGGAGGAGGAGGCCTCTTTGTTGTTCTGGTTCTCTCCTTACATTTAACCTTGCACCATCCTCAGCGTCCTTGTCTCCTCCCTCCTCGTGTCTCAGGTGAAGCTGCCACAGAAACTTGCCGAGCTTGTGGGATTCATCTGAGCAGAGCCTTGAACTCAGACTCTCCTGTCTTCTTGTCACACAAGCCTAGTTAAATAAAGTTTTTTTGTCCTCATGTGAACAAACTGAGTGTGTGTGTTGAAAGCAGCTGCTGTGTGTGTGTGTTTCACTTCTTGTTGCATACTAAAACACACACACTCTCTTTCAGTTCAGTTTAGTGTGTGCAGCCAAACATCACGGCAGACTGCCACAGAGTTCAGCTTCCTCATAGTTTCACACGTCATAAGCCTTCGCATCACTTCCTGTCCTCACAGGAAGCTAAACACAGACGGAGGAGACACTCTGTCTCTCACAGTAAGGAACGCAGCGTTTGTCAGAGCAACACATGCTCTTAAAAAAACAAAATCAGTGTTTCCAACTGTTTCTCAGTGTTTCACAATAAAAGCCTTGTTAGTACAAAAGTGTCCAGCAGCTATTAGGAGGGCCTTTAACTTGAAATGGATGGAAGAGGAAGCAGAAAAGGTCAGCCAGCTTCAGCGGTCCGAGGTCAAAGGTCATGTGAATGAAGAAATGTTGTTCATACTTATTTATATACTTATAGGTTATTTTTTTCTGTCTGAACTGGCAGGAAGTCCTCTGTGAGAAGTAGGAAGTCCCACTTTTGTTGTTTTTGGTGACTTTCAGAAATCTTCCAGCCGCTATAAAGTAAAGTGATGCAGGTAACATCGCTGTGGCAGATGGAGGGCTCCGCTTTCAAATTAACATGACATCAAATATGAAAAGACATCTGTGTAAAGAAGGATGTAAAACATGGACAAAGATCTGCAGGCACCTACTGTTATGTGATTATTATTAAGAGCAGCTAATATGGGATAAAGGTCCTCTTTCCTTATAGTCCCTGTTAGGTATTTTAGTACCATGGGAGCATTTACTGGATATTGTTTTATAGTGACATCATGCAGGAAAACTCTGTCATTCAATAAGGCCCCTTTGTTTCAGTGTTTTTCTCTTTGACCCAAGAATTGATGTGTGAGAATCACAGGCTGGTACAAGGTTGAAATACCACAGAGATCACTCCCTCAGCTACATTAGTTTCTTAATCTTTTAGACGCCTGTTGAAGGCCAAATGGTTTGTTTCAGATTTCACTAATGTAAGAACTCTTCGTTTTGTGCCTTGAAAATATGTCGCTGAGATAATCACAATTGTAGCTGAACTGATACACTACACAAAGGATGCTTCTTCACCCAAGGGCAGGAAGACGCTGCCTTATCTTGGTCTGTACTGGTTTAAACTGATAATCTGCTGTCTCATGAATTTTACCCTCTATATAAACTGTTGTACTTGTGAATAAAGTTGAGTCACTTTGGGAAGACAATCTAAAGCAGTCTCTGTTTTCTTGTTCTCCCAAGCTGCTCCCGAGCTCGTACTAACACGCTGAATGGCATGCTTGAATATTACTTGAGAATATATTTGACTGTGTTACAGACTAAGGGACATTCTCTGCTGATAGGTGAAGGTACATTCTCTGCTGATAGACGTCCACGCCTCGGAGGAAGCCGATCCACGGAGTAGGCCCTGGAAACAGTTTCCTTCAGTCCCTGTTAAAAATCTGTTGATAAAAATTAATAATCTTTTAAATGGTTGAATGTTTTCAATAAAATAAAAACTATGAATCAGTTAAACAGCTAAGAGAGGTGGGTGAAATAAAGGCTTTTAGTCTGAGGCAGCATGAAAGTGATTTATTAGAGAAAGTTTTAAATCATGATTAAAGCACTGATGGACGGGGAGCTTTGTGTGAGCACACCTGCAGGGACGAGGCTGCTGGCTGGAAGTTATTACTGAGGCTGGTCATAGAGATCAATCAGAGAGACGATCTGGATAAATATCAGCACTTATTCATTCAGTTTTATTAACATAGCATCAAATCACAGCAACAGTTGCCTTCATGCACTTTACATTGTAAAGACTCTACAATTACACTGTTACAGTTAAAGCTGCTGTATCTAACGATCTGTCTGAGTTGTTGCTTTTTTGTGATCAGCATGGAAACACGTCTATGGAGAGGAAATCCAGCTGCTGACGGTCACATCTGCATCATTTTAGCTACAGTGTATGTTTCAGTGTCAGAACTGAAGGTGGAGCTTTGTGTGCGTCAGGGTGAGGCTGCAGCAGCCGCCTCCAACCGAGTAAAGAGGTTCAGACTCAGCAGCTCTGATCATTCATTGGAGTCAGCACAGAGTGTGGAGACATCTAGTGGTGGTGGAGAGAAGTGCAATCAAAGCTCTGCTGGCGAATGTAGTTACTGTAAGATCACTGATGGAGCTCTGTGATTGGTGGATTGTCCAAACTGAACTCAGTGGTAACGTTTCCTCGTCCTCTGATGAACAATGGAAGGACGGATCAGCAGATCAGCAGTCAGGATGTCGTGACACGAGTACTGGATCCAAATTTGATGTTCTTTTCTCTGACCAATGAAATCTGACCTGGAATTTGGGAAAAGTCTTGGAAAGTTGTTTCCTTGCATTAAGGATTCTGCTCACAGACTGGGTGACCTTTGACCTTTAACCCCTGAGCTTTGTATTGAGCTACAAAGTTCATACCCTGCTTCTTTTTCCAGTTGAAAATATTGCAAAAGTTAATTTCCACAGCAGAGCCTGACACAGCGCTCCACACCTTCACCTTCATCACATTTGTGCTTCCTGAAGTCCAGCTGCTTCCTAAACTTCCAGACTTCTAACTCAAAGAGAGGAGATCACTCCACTGCACTGCAGACAGATTTCAGACCTTCATGAATTCCTTCTAAAGCCTGATGTGGCTTTGCTTCCAGCTACATGACACATTTATTCACACCTTATGAACCAATC